TAATTTGATCAAGTAAATGTTACAAGATTTAACTGAGCAAATGAAGTTAAATTTACCTGATTTATTCACAAATCTTTAACTATATTCTTAACAACTTTTACTGGATAATCATGAGTAAATATTACATGAATTTGTAGCATTTAAATTTACTTAAACATTAGTGTAAATCGTTACGAGGACTTTTTCAAGTAAACCTTACAAGTTATTATTTTCAGTGCAGGTCAGATATTGAAATGAGTGCAGATGGAGGAAATGAGGTGTGCTGATGACTAGTGTAGCCCTCACTAATCTGATTTGTTCAGTGTGGTTGACTCTGGAGCCGGTGTGGGAAAATGTTTGAGACGGACCTGAGGGAGTCACACAGTCTGTCATTAAATGACCTTGTGCTGAAAGTGGCACGTAGCACCGTTTCCATCAGCCTGGTGATGGAGAGGCAGGGTTGGTACTTAAGGCTCACTGTGACTCGGGGTCATTTCTCTGCAGTCATGCTCAGGTCCACAACAACTTACAGTACCTTTCCTCTGACACAGGTGAGTTACACTAAATGACATTTTTTGTTTTAAGTGTAATGTTTAGTTCAGTTTGATGTAAAAATAATGGATTAAGTATGTATTTTGTTGCCTCTCAGTAAACATAATGCTTGTGTTAGGTTTCCAGTTCCTCTCCTGGTGTCAGCATCAACAGCACAGTGAAGCGCTCTAAACTGTGGGACTCTGTCCTCCACATGATGCCCCACATGGCACTGTGCAAGTTTGGTAAGTTAACTTCCCTGTTAGAAACTGGTTTCAGTGTTGAAACAACAGCTGTAGCAGCTCAGTCTGATTTAACACCTCAGCTTGTAAACTTAATAGTTATTCTTTTGTTTTGTTTGTTTTCAATCAGCTCCTCTGGTCCTGGTGGGAGTTGTGGTTTTTGCAGCAAGTGGGATCATTGGAGACCCTCTATATGAGTGCCTGCAGGACCCAGACTACAGTGAGCTCCTGGACATTGTGATGAAAGGTCTTCCTGTCACAAAGAGGCCTCATCATGTAGCAGTGGTTGGTGGGGGCATGGCGGGTCTGACTGCTGCAAAGGTTCTAGAAGATGCTGGACACAAGGTTAGAAAACTAACCAATCCATAACCAGTGTGTTAATGAGTACTGTACTTAATCATTGTGTGCTCCTATAAACAACAAGGTGACCATAATCGAGGCCAGTAATCGTATTGGAGGACGGGTGGAGACCTTCAGGAACACAAGAGAAGGATGGTATGCAGAAGTGGGAGCCATGAGGATACCAAGCTTCCATAAGTGAGTGGAGAAACGGAAACGGGACTGTGATCCCTCTGTGGCCACCCGCTTCGGGTGTTATCATCCATGAAATGGACGTTATTAGATGTTATCAGTCCCATAGAATGGCTTCAGAATGTCCCGCCTGTGACAGTTAGCAGGTTCCCCGTCCCATAGAATGGCTTCTGATTGTCAGCTGGTTAATATCAGACATAAAGACACTATCTGGTTAATATGAGACATAAAGACACTATCTGGTTAATATGAGACATAAAACCACTATCTAGTTAATATGAGACATAAAGACACTATCTGGTTAATATGAGACATAAAACCACTATCTGGTTAGTATGAGGCTTAAAGCCACCAAGGTTAACCTTAGAGCAGATGACATGGTTAGCATTAACCTCCAACTAACATATATTGTGGTCTCTCAATAGGACAATGGGTAGAGTGTTGGACCAGAGAGCGGTAGACCAGTGTTTGAGTCCAACATGGACACAAAAAATTTATTACAATATGTTTTGGTTATTTACACATTCATTGTCATTGATATATTAAACCACTAGGGGGCACTGTCGAGACAGTCTGAAGCCTAGAAGGCACAGTAGGGACCCTCTGAAGCCATTGTATGGGACTGATAACACCTAATAACGTCCATTTCATGGACTGATAACATCAGAATCCCCTGCACCTCAGACACATATCAGCCATGATCTCTGAAGCTGCTAAAAGCTGAAGCAATAACAAAAATCACAAAACAAAGTTCCTGTGTGGCCGGAGCATTGTTGTGTTTCTGATGTTATTTTGAAAAGAAAACTCTTCCTTCAGATACTGTTGAAGCAAAAAGTTCATGTGTGTCACAGGTTTTTGTAAGCTTTTGTTTAAGTAAACACTTTTAAAGGATTTTAAATGTTAAAGGGTTTTTGTGGAGTGGTGGTCAGAGGTTAGAGAAGATGAGTGTGTGATTGGAAGGTCTGGAGATGGGACAAATGGCTCTTTGAAGGGATCCAGATCTTGGGGAGTCGTTTGTCTCATAGAGCCGTTCAAAAGAGCCGTTCGATTTTGAACGAGTTACGTCATCACGTAGCCGTACGTAATGACGTAATCCCATCACGTGGGTGGAACCATGTGTTTGTCATGCGGAAACCCCCCTCCCCCTCTCACCGTGAGCTTCTGTACTTCACAACTCCGCCTGTTTTCTGTGAAAAAGCAAAGTGGGAGCCATTTAAATATGAAAAAATAAAGATTATATGAGGAATAAAAGAACTAGAACTACAAATGGCTCGTTACTGCTCGCAATTCGGCTCCTATCGTTCATTGTAAAGAGCCGTTCAAAAGATTTGGATCGTTCGCGAACGTCACATCTCTAGGAAGGTCGCTAGTTCAACTCCCTGAACCAACCAGCCCCACTTTGGACCCTTGAGCAAGGCCCTTAACCCCTCAATTGCTCCCCGGGCACTGTGATTGACAGCCCGCTGCTCCACATGTGTGATGGGTAAAATGCAGAGAATAACTTCCCCTCTGTGGGACGATAAAGGCTGATTAATCCTTCTTTTTCACATTTCAATCATTCTGTTTGGGTCTGTATGAAGTGGAACTGATATTATTTGGTCTGAATTCCTCTTTAATGTAACTTCACAAGCTCCTCTTTCACCCCTTTCCTGAGGTGTGTCTCAGATCAACTCGTTCTGAGGCTGTGTCTTTAAATCAAAACGAGGTGTTTCACTCCCTGACCCCTCCAGCTTCCAGAGCAGTCCATTCTTTCTTGACAGAGGGGTTTAGGACTGTAAAACAGCACAGAAGAGTTTTATTTATAAATGAAAGGAAAGACTTGTCCGCATACCTGTTGGAGCCAATCAGGAGAATGAAGACCACCCAATGTGTAGTTGGTAAGTTCAGACCTTGTTTGGCAGTTCTGTCACAAAAACTGTGACGTAAAAGTTCAGAAAACATCGCACAGGATGATCAATCTGACCCAAACAGAACATAAAGAGCAGCACCAGGAGAGACTCAGTTCAACTTTTCTGCCTCCAAGTACAACAACATGTATTTAATGACTAAAACATGGATTTTACACGTGTCCCTTTTACCAAGATTATAAACATTAGCTTTAGTCTTTATTCTCAGAGCCAGCTGAAGTGTTGGCAGCACATTTACCATCTTGATTTAATACATATTTAAATGCAGATCAATAACAAATATCCAGCATGCTCAGGATGTTTTTAACTCTGCTTCACAGGATTCTGCTTTCTCTTATCTCCAAATTACAAATTCCCCTGAACCGTTTCATTCAAGATGACATCAACACCTACTATTTAGTAAATGGACTTCTGCACAAAACCTACTCTGTGGAGAACAACCCCAGTGTGCTGAACTACAGCCTGAACGACAGGGAGAGGGGGAAGTCTGCTGCAGAGCTCTTCAGTCAGACGCTCTGGAAGGTCTGTGATAACCGCTCACATTTATTACTTTTCTTTCTGTCGTTAAAGTTTCATGTGTTTGAATGTGTGCACAGGTCAGAGACGACCTGAAGAGACTTGGCTGTAGGGCTATGTTGGATAAATATGACTCGTACACAGTAAAGGTAAGAGTTAGGTCGTTCATGATGTAACAATAAATGATGCGAGGTCTTCAGTCTGTCGTCTGCTAACAGGAATATTTGGTGAAGGAAGGTAACCTGAGTCGTGGAGCTCAGAGGATGATCGGTGACATCTTGAATGAAAACAGTCTGTTCTACACGTCGCTGATAGAAATGCTCTACATACAGTCAGACATCAACGACAACACACAGTAAGAACAACGTGTGGATGCTGAGTGCTGAATAACTGTTGAAAATGAACCGGTAACTGTTGAAGGTACAACAATGAGAGCCGAGGCTAAATTACTGAAAAGAAGCTAAAAGTTACAAGGAGGTCAATTGTTGCTAAAATCAACAAAATCTAAAATATCAGGTGCCTTTTGTAAAGTTACACAGTCAAAAATTACCACCAATAGTTTTGTTTTATTTAGCCTTTTATAAGAAAAAAAGAACAGATTTATTTTTCAAAGTCAGTTTTTCACCATATGATTCATACATTTATAAATGTCATAGTTTATAAACTAAATATTTAGCTCGCTACCTAAATATTTAAGTTAAATATTTAACTTAAATATTTCGTTAGCTACCTAAATATTTAGGTTACAACTTAAATATTTAGGTAGCGAGCTAAATATTTAGGTTACAACTTAAATATTTAGGTAGCGAGCTAAATATTTAGGTTACAACTTAAATATTTAGGTAGCTAATGATATTTAGGTAGCTACTTAAGTTGCAAGCTAAATATTTAACTTGCTAGCTAAATATTTAAGTTTCAAGGTAAATATTTAGGTAGCTAGCTAAATATTTAACTTGCTAGCTAAATATTTAAGTTGCAAGCTAAATATTTAGCTCAAAACTAAATATTTAATTTGTAAATTAAGTTTTTGTTAGTTTGGTCATGTGTGGTGATTAAAGGTTGACCAGGTGTTTTTTTTTACTTTGGTCACGTCTGATTAAAGGTTGACCAGGTGTTTTTTTACTTTGGTCACGTCTGATTAAAGGTTGACCAGGTGTTTTTTTACTTTGGTCACGTCTGATTAAAGGTTGACCAGGTGTTTTTTTTTTTACTTTGGTCACGTCTGATTGAAAGGTTGACCAGGTGTTTTTTTTACTTTGGTCACGTCTGATTAAAGGTTGACCAGGTGTTTTTTTACTTTGGTCACGTCTGATTGAAAGGTTGACCAGGTGT